TTTTCGTTTCTCATCTAATCCGAAATACCAGGAATAGAGATGAATTCCTCTGAGAAAGGGACGAGTAACTTCACAGAACTCTTCTCCGTCTGTAGCAGACAGAGTCTGAGTATAACAGTCTCCGTGACCGTCAAGTGAGCAGAGATGAACATTCAATGAAGTATCTCTTCCGGATATGTTATATCTGAAGGAAATACATTTTTAGTATTTCGTATTTTCAAAGTACAATCACCTGAAGCCAATACAAAGAGAATAGTCATACCACAAAGGTTCTGATTTGAAGTAGCTTGTGTTGGACTTTTGAAGAACAACATAGTTTTGAATTGGAGTCTTTTCCACTGGCTTCGTTCCCGAATCTTCGAATCAACATCGTTGGGAAGTTGTTTGAGGATAACTCACAGCCTGTCTGTTGTTTCTTCTTACTCGACTTCTGTCTTGTTTGTCGATAGTTTTCAGAACTATCAGTTTTCCACCAATCGAGTAAATTTCGACGATCTTCTCTTTTGGATTTACCATGACGAGCTTCACACTTCGACTTGCACTCATGCAAGGTCATGAAGTTGTTCGCGGACTTTCCGCAACCCGTGTAATGAAAGCCTCTACATGCCTTTGATCGTTTATTGAAATAATATCTGAAAAACAAATTTCATCCTGAAATCTCCGTAATGAACGAGTATTTCGAAGACGTTTTGGGCTTTACTCTTCAACACAGATACCTGTTAGACATAGCTTCACACCAGTTACCCCGATCCAGAGATTCAAGACATGGATCTGCAACACGAGGGTTATAGAATAAGACAATCATCAACCTACCCAAGCCTGACACTTCACAAGCTTTCTGACAAACTTCAAAACTCTCAAAACGGTTAGTATTCCCACCACATCCTGGAAGTTGAAAATGCATGAAGCCATGTTTTCTATATACCTACCTCCATATAGAAATTGATCACAAGCTCCTCTGGTTTCATTGTAGAACCACATGTACCTCAATTGGTTGCATCTTCCCCAGTCAGGAGGATGAGAGCATACAGCAGGATCATTACTGGTCTTGATTCCTTCACAAACTCCGTTGCATTCCCATTCAGTTGCAAATCTTTAGCAGTTTCTTTCAGTTTTTCAGACTGTATGATGAGTGATGAACCTGTTGTCATTTCCTCCACATCCACTATAAGTGAATGAAACACACTTTTTATTATGATAAGACCATCTTTGCACGGGGCGTTTGAAATCGCTCGAGCATTTCCCCGAAGAAGCTCCTTGCTGAGAACAAACTAAAATTATTTTTTCAGACATCGATGAGATAAATGAAAACCCCGTTAATCAATGGTAAATGAAGATGTTCAAATGATATTTATTGACAAACAAAGTACAAAAATCTCATCGCATCAGCCATTACTCACACAGAAATATTTAAAAGCAAAGCTTTGTTTTAACCAAAGACTAAAAGGGTTTTTCGTTTAAGGAATCATACCATGACTGTTCACTCTCGGTTTTCTTCCAACGTCACGACGTTTCTCTATCTGACACGTTCTTTGACATACTTCAAACGAATGGAAGTTGTTGGCATTTCCGCCACAACCAAGATACCAAAACTGCGAACACTTTCCTACAAAGATGTGAATCGTCTAAAACGTTTGTTGCAATCCTACCGTATTCACGATCAAAGTAGAATCTATAACTAGCTTGTGCCAAACAATGATCATCGTTTTTACCATAGCCGATATGTAAGGGTTGATAGCAGTCCATTTCTGGCTCTGAAAAGTAGTTAAGACAACAACGTTATTGGTATTTCGAACCTTCTAATTCATTGAACTCATAGCATAACCCTTCACACTGGCTAAGAGTCATGAAACGGTTTCCATTACCATCACATCCAGAATATGCAAATGGTCGACAGACTTTGGATGATTTGTCATAATAGAAAGCAGGGTATCTCAAAAAATTCGGTGAACAGATTGAAAAGAAAGAATCTCACGTTTCTCGACAATTTCCAACCTCAATGGGTTCAAGACAACGGAACTTCGTCTGTGGATCAGGTAGACGAGACTCGACAGCATAGCCTGGATGGACGCAATGTCTCTTACATGACTGCTGATCCGGGAAAATGTTTTGTGAGCTTGAAGTACAACCGTCCCACCAGAAGGAGCTACATTCTCCGGTCAGTTGCTAATAGAGTTGTAAAGATGAATGTGTGTCTGTGAAATGCTACTCACGTCGAAGAACCATTTCTCTTGCCATTCGCCATTTCCACACGATTCTTGATACTTGACATCGAATTTAGTAGCACAATGACTAGGTATTCGTTCTTCCACATGCCTCTCACAAATCCATTGACATGTTTCCAGAGATGGGAAAACATTCTGATTTTCTCCTTTACAGTTGCCATACCTATAAGAGTGAGAGTGTGTGTGTGGGTAAGGGTTTGAATGTGAAAAGAGTGTTACCAAAACATTTTGCAAGTATGAGATGAATGATCGAAGTAATAAAACTGTTGAAAACGACCTTCCGCACTACAAGAGTCCGTGTATGATTCATCGAAAGGTTGCACACACGCTTCTTAATTTTGACTAATGGTTATGACAGTCAAGAGGAAATAGACAAACGTGTTAGCTCTCGAGGTGGACGTTCACAAGTGTCAGCACATT